CCCCCCACCCCCACCCACACACACTTTTTTTTGTTGTTGGTCGTGGGGTTGGAACTCTGGGCTTCGACACTGTCCCTGCACTCTTCAGCTCAAGGCGAGTGCTCTACCGCTTGAGCCACAGCGCCACTTCAGGTTTTCTAGTGGTTTTATTGGAGATAAGAATCCCACGGATGTTCCTGCCCGGGCTGACTTTGAACCGCAATCCTCAGATCTCAGCCTCCTGAGTAGCTAGGATTACAGATGTGAGCCACCGGCGCCCAGTGTAACTGGATTCTTATTGGGTTAAGACTCCTCTGTGTAGCACAGACACTGCTCAGGTATATGGGGAGTTTATTCTGTGATCACAGTAATGGTACTGTCACCACCCTTACTCACTTTTCCCTAGATTTCCAATACTTACCCTTGTAAGACTACCAATAACCTGGTCTTCTTTTGAATGTAGGCTGACTGGCGGGCAGAGCGGTTCTGCTGGGCTTCCAGGGCACTAGAAAGGTATTTCTGGAAGTGTGCAGCATGGAAACATTCTGAGCTGTCCATAATTTGGCGGTATACCATCCACCTGGAAACAGCAAAGGTGATCTTAGTACAGAGGCATTTGATGGCCTGGCCCTAAGGGCTTAGCCATGGATTCAAATGTACCTAGTACTCTCAAAGACATTCTGCCCATAAACTCTGTGAGCAAAAATCAATCCTGGCACCAAAGAAGAAGGTAGAGAACACTAGGTAGTTGGGAGCCCAGTATCCTGGAATCACAATCACCGGGGCTTTTGGCAAGAAACCTCCTGCCATATGGAAGACAGGAACACATAGAACCAATAGGCTTCAAGATTTTTTTTGGCCAGTTCTGGGACTTGAACTCAGGGTCTGGACACTGTTCCTGAGCTGTTTTTGCTCAAGACTAGTACTCCATTTGAGCCATAGTGCTACTTCTGTTTTTTTCTGTTTATGCGGTCCTGAGGATTCAAACTCAGGGTTTCATACATGTTATACAAGCACTCTATCATTAAGCCACATTCCCAGGCCCATGCTTCAGGATTTTTGACCAGGCAGTGATTTCCTGAAGGACTATGCAATAAAATGGCTTCAGTCTGGTATTCAATAAAACTCTTGCTAAGAGTAAGAAATGGGCAAGGTAAGGGCTGAGAAGGTGGCTCAGTGGTAGAGCGCTTGCCTTGCATGCTCGAGGCCCTGGGTTCGATTCCTCAGCACCACATAAGCAAAAAGAGAAAAGCTGGAAGTGGCGCTGTGGCTCAAGTGGTAGAGCGCTAGCCTTGAGCTGAAGAACTGAGGGACAGCACCCAGGCCCAGAGTTCAGGCCCCACGACCGGACCCAAAAAAAAAAAAAAAAGAAATGGGCAAGGTAAGAGAATTTGTAATGTTAGGAGTATTGCCAGTTGCTAACATCTATAATTCTAGCTAGTTAGGAGGCTGAGATCTGAGAATCTCTGTTTGAAGAGTCTTATCTTTAATTAGTTAGCATAGAGTTTAAAGTAGGTATGTCTCAAGTGGTAGAGCTCCAGCCTTGAGTGAAAAAACTAAGCAGAAACATGAAGCCTTGAGTTCAAACCTCAATCGTAATGTTTATACAACATAAACATTAGACATGCCGGGCATCGGTGGCTCATGCCTGTAATCCTAGCTACTCAGGAGGCTGAGATCTGAGGATCATGGTTCAAAGCCAGCTGGGGCAGGAAAGTCCATGAGATTCTTATCTCCAATAAACCACCAGAAAACTATAAGTGGCACTGTGGCTCAAGTAGTAGAGTATTAACCTTGAGCTGAAGGACAGCACCCCAGCCCAGAGTTCAAGCCCCACAACTGACAAAACAACAACAAAAAACAAACAAACAAACAAAAAATTAGAACTGGTGAGCCATTAAGTGCTTGTTAATTGGGACCCAATGTTACCCTAACATTTCTCCAAAATGCACCTTCTGATCTCCACAGCCTCCACCCAAAACTCCCAACTATCTAGGTAATTTCTTTTTTTTTTTCTTTTTCTTTTTTGTTGGTCGTGGGGCCTGAACTCTGGCCTTGGGCGCTATCCCTGAGCTCTTCACCTCAAGGTGAGCGCTCTACCACTTGAGCCACAGTGCCGCTTCCAGTTTCCTGGTCGTCAATTGTAGATAAGTCTCATGAAAGAAAAAAACATTTGAATACTTCTATCATATTTATAAGATGATTTCTTTGTTGCTTTGTATGTCCTTCCCCCACAGTATCACCCCTGCTTTTACTGTATTTGATGTTGGTATAATTTGTGGAGGGGAAGGGACAAAACAAATCTTTTAAATAGGGATACAGAGGGACCCATTGCAACAATGAGATGTACAAGTCATTATGTCAGAAAAACGAACTTTACAATTTTGGTGGAGGGGGCAGAGAATCGGGTAGGGGGGGTGGGGGAGAATAGGAAGGGATAGGAAGGAGGAGGCAACAATGCTTGATAAGAAATGTACTCATTATCTTGCCCATGTAATTGTAACCTCTCTGTACAGTACTTTCACAATATAAATAAATAAATGTGTAAATATTAAAAAAAAAGAGTCTTACGGGTTTTCCTGCCCAGCCTGGCTTTGAACCGTGATCCTCAGATCTCAGCCTCCTGAGTGGCTAGGATTATAGGCTTGAGCCACCAGCGCCTGGCTCTATCTAGGTAATTTCATTTTTTTTCAGTTCTTTCATACAATCCTGCAGGATGCCTTCATATTAGTCTGATTGTATATTAAATGCCTGTCTCAGTCAGCAAAGGTTGATTAATAGTCAGCCAAGCAAGTGAAGTGATGGGTAAATTATTTTCCCAATTTCACTTGAGCTAGCATGTCCTAGTTGTGCATGGACTCACATACACAGACTCTGTGTTCATGGAAGGTTCATTACCTCCCAACTTCTTATAATCATGATGGCTCTGACTTTCCCTCTGACCAGGCACACTTCCAAGTCTTTGTACCCCCTCATCCTGCTGCTCTCCCTGAGATCACATGGTTCATTCCCTTATTTCTTCAGGTCTTTGCCTTCATGTTATTTTCTTGGTGAGGCCTTCCCTAACTACCCAATTTTAAACTTTGAGTTCCAGCTGGGTACTGGTGGCTCATGCCCCAGATCCTAGCAACTCAGGAGGCTGAGGTCTAAGGATCCAAAGTAGGCAGGGTATAAAGATCCATGTGACTCTTATTTCCAATTTGCCAGCAAAAAGCTGGAAGGAGAACTGTGGTTCAAGTGGTAGAATGACAACCTTAAGAAGACAAGATGAGCAAGAAAGAACACAAGGCCCTGAGTTCATGCTCCAGTTCCAAAAAACCCCAAAAACCAAACCAAAACATTGGAGTTCCACTCCTAGCCTGTACTTCCATGAACCTGCTGTTTTATTTTCTCCATAGCATTTTGTATTTGTATGTGTGTGAGCATGTTGAACTCAGGGCCTGAGCACTGTCCTTGAACTTTTTGCTCAAAACTAATGTTCTACCACTTGAGCCACAGCTCCACTTCTGGCTTTTTTGGTGGTTAATTGAACATAAGAGTCTCATATACTTTCCTGCCCAGACTGGCTTCAAACCAAGACCCTCAGATCTTAGCCTCCTGAACAGCTAGGATTACAGGTGTGATCCACTGCATCCAGCTTCCACAGCATTTTTTACTGGCCACTATGCCTTCCTTATGTAGTTGTTTGTCTTCCAAACCACAATGTAAACTCCAAAGAACAGATTTTCTTCTCTATTTTGTTCACTGATGTTTTCCCTCATACTCAGTGTGTGCCTGGAATACAGGAAACCCTTAGTGCGTGTGTTAAATAAATGGAGAGATGCACAACTACTGTGCAGATAAAAGTCAAACTAGCAGCCATACATGTGGAAAGTCTCCCTGCAGCTAGGCAGGCCAAGGCATACAGTCCCTTTCCCCAAAGCAAAAGAATTACTCATACTAACCTGCCATATTCCTTATGCAGAGTGACCAGAAAAGCACAGAGTTCACTAGCATGACAGCCTGGGAGACCAGTTACAATGCTGATAATTACCTACATGAAAGAAAAGTCATGTTGGTTTGCAATTCAACTGAGATGCAGCGCTATGTAAAAAAGTTAAATGTCTTCTGGAGCCAGGCTCTCTGATTTTGGGCCAATGATAAACTGATTTTATAGGGTGGGTATGAGAATTAGCGGAGTTTAATGTAAAATGTTTACAACAGTGCCTGCACAAAGCCACCACCATATAAAATGCAGCTCTAATTTCTGTGGAGCATGTTGCAAATTTATCAGTTCAAGTCCAATGAATTGAATAGCATATAGGTTTGAGATCACAGACACTTCTTTTGTAGAGATTCAAGGATATTTTGACTGATTTACTATAACACTTCTTAGTAAAGCACTGGGCAGAAAGGACAACTGGGACCGGAGTGCTGGTGGCTCACACCTGTAATCCTAGCTACTCAGGAGGCTGAGATCTGAGGATTGTGGTTCAAAGCCAGCCAGGGCAGGAAAGTCCGTGAGACTCTTATCTCCAATTAACCACCAGAAAACAAGAAGTGGCACTGTGGCTCAAGTGTAGAGTGCTCCCCTTGAACTGAAGAGCTGAGGGACAGTGCCCAGACCCAGAGTTCAAGCCCCACAACAGACAAAACAAAACAAAAAATAGTAACAAAACATGGCAAAAACTTCCCTGGGCATATATTTACTTCATTATACAGGCCAGACACCACTCTATAGCTAGGTGTGGAGGTACTCATCACTCAGGCTGATCACACCAGTATAAACAGCTGTGAAGCCCTTTTGTTTTGTGAGAGCTCACAATGTTCCTTCCTCTCTTCTGACCAGGAACTCTGGACTGCATCCCCTTCTGCTCCCTGGACAGTCCTTCCTGTAACTGACATACGATTTGGGTTCCTCCCATCCACCTTTCTCTATCTTGCTTCCCATTACTCAGTACCCAGGCTTTAGCTCCTTAAACCACAGCATGTGTGTTCAGACAGATAATTGCTTACTTTAAGGTAAATCTTTTTTTTTCTTTTTTGTCGGTTGTGGGGCTTACACTCTGAGCATTGGTACTGTCCCTCAGCTCTTCAGCTCAAGGGTAGTGCTCTACCACATGAGCCATAGTGCCACTTCTGGTTTTCTGGTGGTTAAGTGGAGATAAAAGTCTCATGGACTGGGGCTGGGAAGGTGGCTCAGTGGTAGAGTGCTTGCCTTGCATGCATGAGGCCCTGGGTTCAATTCCTCAGCACCACATAAGCAGAAAAAGCTGGAAGTGGCACTGTGGCTCAAGTGGTAGAGCGCTAGTCTTGATCTGCAGACAGCACCAGGCCCAGAGTTCAGTTCCCATGACCAGCAAAAAAAAAAAAAAAAAAAAAGTCTCATGGACTTTCTTGTCCAGGTTGGCTTTGAACCAAGATCCTCATATCTCAGCCTCCTGAGTAGCTAGGATTACAGATATGAGCCACTGGCACCCCGCTGAGGTGACTCTTATAGCACTTTTTTTTTTTTTTAAGTAAAAAGGCATTTTTAAACTTTCTATACTCTTGCCTAAGGGGAAATGATGCTTTTAATTGCTTAGCATTGCTATTTCCTTTTGTTGCTGTGTCTTCTAGATTTGCACAGAAATAAATGCCTCCTCTGAGTCTATTACAACACATGGCTCCCAAAGGAATAATGGGAGGGAGGCCAAGGGGAGGAAAGCATGGGGAGGGAACAGATTAAAATCCATTCTAGGGAGAACAATGTTTATATAATATCACCTTACCCTAGGGATTGCTGCCAGGACATGGTAAATGGGCACCCTTCCCCTTATTAAACACAATGTGTTATCTACTGCTAGGTAAGTCTTTGTCACAACTAGGAAGAGTTGACAGCATGAGAACACAGAGTAAGAGTGTAAAAGACTTGAAGAGGCAAGGGGAGGGAATGGCAGGATGCCAGAGTTTATCACTATTATGGAGCTTGGCTTGACCTAGTCATTGTATAGAGCAAGTTTCACGTGTATCATTACATCAGTATCCAAGGGGGTGGAGTCTTATAAAAAGGACTCTGTCTGAGCATCTTTTGTTAACTGACATAAAAGATCTAAGGGCAGGCTTGTAGGATTATCCTCCTGTGAATTCCCAGCACGTTTGGTAAACTCTTCTACCTTGTCATTTTCTACTCTGTGAGTAGGGCTGACTTCAGCTTGCTGCAGCAGGACTGGAAGATGGATCCGCATCACAGGTTCCCAACTAATGCTGCTGACAGCAAAATGCTGGAGAAAGCTGGAAAAACCAAGACAGTAGAAAAACCATCACAGTCTTGCCTTAGCAACTTCTTACTTGTTGAAGAATGAGGTTTAGAGATTCTCACCAGAAGTAAAATTGTTTATGGTACATCATTACTACCTTCTACAGGAATCTCAAAGAAGTTATCAAGGAAAAGGAGCTAAGAAAGGTCAAACACTGGGGTTAACATTTCAAAAGTTGGAACAATAAACATCGAAAACCATACACCCGGGCTGGGAAGGTGGCTACGTGGTAGAGTGCTTGCCTTGCATGCATGAGGCCCTGGGTTTGATTCCTCAGCACCACATAAGCAGAAAAAAAGTCGGCGCTGTGGCTCAAGTGGTAGAGTGCTAGCCTTTTACTGAAGAGCTGAGGGACAGTGCCCAGGCCCAGAGTTCAGGCTCACGACCGGACCCTCCCCCCCAAAAAAAAAAAGAAAAGAAAGAAAACCATACATCCAGAGCTTACCAGTCCAGCTCTGGGAGTTTTGCTGGGAGCAACTTTTGAGAACGCCACTTCTCTCCAGCAGGATGGTTCAGGGCAATGAAGAGCTTCTGTGCATTGGAGTGCCTGCAATATCAAAAGCTCACAGATTAGAATTCTGCCTCCCCTCTCCACAAGAATTTTATACTACTAGTTCTGAGCCTTTTAAGCCACAGTTTCGTGACAGAATCAATATTTCTGAAACAAGCATTTCACTGACTAAAACAAAATGTGGTATCAGTACATGACTGGCATGTCCACATAGGAAGGTTGGTCTAAAAGTGCTTGACACTAGTTCCAGTTTCGGATTGAGTGTATTTCATCTCTCTTGCCATCTATGTATCAAGGCCACTGGCTACCTGCAAACTGGCAGCACTGAAATGACTGCTAGGACTTCCAGAAGCCAAGACCCCTATGTTACGTAAGTCTCCCTGCAGAGAGAGCACACCCACAAGGCTTAGGGAATGAAGCACAAACACTGAAGGCAGCCACTTACAATCTCTTTTGTTCCACAGATAATCCATCTTCCTGGATCACTTTTAAAGAAAGCCCTGAGTTATCCTGCTGTTGCCAGGGGGAGAAGACCTAAACAAAACAGAATTTGAGCAAAGAACACTTTAAACTCAACAACAGGATATGGAACCCACATGGGGATTTGATCGTTGTTGAAAATCTAGACTTGCCAGTGCAGAGAAAAACCATTGTAACAAACAAGTTTGCTTTAAAAATAAGGCCCAGAGCAGAGAGAGAGAGAGAGAGAGAGAGAGAGAGAGAGAGAGAGTGTGTGTGTGTGTGTTGAGCTAGAAATGTCTTTCTGGGTTCCTCTCTACAGGGACTGCTCATCCAGAGGGCAGGAAGTCTGGAGGACAGTGTCAGGTAACACTGTTCTGGCAGCAAGGGCAAGCTCTTCCTCGTGTCAGGGCCAGACAGCAGTAGTATAAGTTACCTTTTGGCTAAAGGCACAGGGATGGCTGATAAGAATATAAAAGAGTATCTAGGTTCACAGATTGAAAGAGCAAACACAAGCAGGTTAGAAGGCCCAGCCAGCAGTAAAAGAAAGACACAGATTGGGCTGAGAAGCCACTCTGCAGCTAAGATCAGTTATTATAGTTCCTTCACACTGTGCAGATCTGTTGGAGGAGTGGGGGAAGTCACACTGTCCTCTCACCAGTTGTGTGGCTGCCTGTCAGTCTGCTATTAGCTACTGCTTGGACTCTAAGGGAGTCACATAATTCTTAGTATACTTTGCCCTTATTCAATCTGTTGAGCATCTAATGGGCAGCCTGCCAGATGGGACCATCTGCAAGGGCAGGGATTATGACCCATCAGGATGGAGAATAATGGGGTAGCTAAAAGGGGAAATAAATCAAATTAGGACTTACAAGAACGAAGTAGATATTTCCTCTCCCTCCCTCCCTCCTTCTTCTTTCTTATGTCAGTCCTGGGGTTTAAACTCAGGGCCTGGGCACTGTCCCTAAGCTCTTTTGCTCAAAGCTAGGGCTCTACCACTTTGAGCCATCGTGCCATTTCTAGTATTCTGGTGGTTAGTTGGAGAAAAGAGACTCACTGTGACTTTTCTGCTTGGGGCTGCCTCTGAAGCATGATCCTCAGATCTCAGGCTCCTAAGTAGCTAGGATTATAGGCACCAGTGCCCAGCTAGATCTTTCTTAAAAGGCTTTTAAAAAGCCCTCCCTCTCAGTTTCTTTGGGCTCTCATACTTTCATAGGTAAGAATACTATTCCAGAATGCAGGGGATTATCAATGCCTCCCACAACTAGCTCTCTCTGCTCTTGCTCTAATCATCTCACTGTTGGCTCTAGGATATTGTTTACCATCTAAATTGCTATGAGAAAAAAAGTAGTAGATGTTTTACTGAATGATTGATATTACCTCTGAGTAAAATGCTTGATATATTTTTGATTTTGGGAAAAGGGCAATCATCAGAAAACTGCTTGGTCCATGGAACTGAACTGGGAGATGAAGAAGTAATGAGCTCTTGAAGTCTATGAAAAGGGCTGCCACTACACTGATGGAATCCTAAACAGAAAAGAAGATCATTAGTAAGATAAGCCATTTGCTGATTTACAACTAGTATCATAATACACACTAGTTATGACAATTTCATTGTGATTATCCTCATGTTGAGATTACTGAAGTTCAATCATAGACATATGTTCCAACTTTGTTACAGGAAACATGGGCAGAACAAGTATCTTTTTACCAAACTGAAAATGTCATCTCAAAATTCCTTCTACGGTATTAATCCCTTATTTTATATATTATTGTATTATATAATTTGCAAATATTTCTTCCATTCTCTTTGGTTTACATACTAATGGGAGTGTACTTTAAAGCACAGAAGCCTATTTATTTCCTTTTTCCCCTCCCTCTTTTCCTTTCCTTCCCCCCTCTCCTATACCTTGCTCCCTTTCTGAGGTTTGAACTCATTACCTTAGCCTGCTAAGCAGATGCTCTATGACTTGAGCCATGTTCCTCAGCCCCTGAGAGGCTTAATTTTGGTCAACTTAATTTATAAATATTGTTTCTTTTTTGGGGGGGAGGGTCCGCTCATGGGGCCTGAACTCTGGGCCTGGGCGCTGTCCCTCAGCTCTTCAGCTCAAGGCTAGTGCTCTACCACTTGAGCCACAGCGCCACTTCCGGCTTTTTTCTTTTTGCTTATGTGGTGCTGAGGAATTGAACCCAGGGCCTCAGGCATGCAAGGCAAGCACTCTACCACTGAGACACCTTCCCAGCCCCTAAATATTGTTTCTTGATGTCTATGCTTTTGGTATGCTATTTCAGTTACTGCTTAAAAGGGAAGGGAAAGGAAGGGGAAGAGGAGAAAAGAAAGGGAAGGGAAAGTAAAAGAGAGACAGAGAACAAATAAACATAAGCAGGAAATTCAGAGCTATTTTATTTATGTTGTTGGAGATATAGTCAGGTTGGCCTTGAACTCAAGATCCTCCTGCTTCAGTCTCCTGAATGCTGGGCAGCTTTGTACAGAATCCTTAAGGTTTCTAGATACAAGATCACATCTGTAATCCCAGCTACCTGAAAGGTGGAATGCAGGAGGATTGCAGTTCTAAGCCAGCAATGGACAAAAAGTCAGGGAGACTCCATTTCAAGAAATAAGCTGGGTGTGGAGGTTCACACCTATTGCCTCAGCTACTTGGGAGACAAAGATTGGAGGCTTGTGACTAAGGCCAGCCCAGGTGAAAGTATGAGTCCCTATGTGAAAAACCAAAGGACTTTGGGAGGGTAAGAGGAAGCACAGAAATGGAGGGACAAAGGGTAAACAAATGCAGCAGTGGTACTTATTAGACACTGAAAATGAACTGTGTGTAGAGATGGGAGGAAAAAACTGGGAGAGTACAAGGGAAGGGGTAAAGTTCCCAAAAAGAAATTCACTCTTTTCCTGACATATAACTGTAACCCCTCTGTATACCGCCTTCATAACAATTAAAAAAAATTAAAACTAAAGGACTGGAGGTGCGGCTCAAGTGGTAGAGTGCTTGCTCATCAAGTCCAAAGTCCTAAGTTCAAATCCCAGTACTGCCAAAAGAAAAAGGATATGAGAAAACTTTTGAGAGGTGAGCTGTGCCCTGGCTGTTAAGTATGAGCTAGAGAAATTCAGAGCTACTCTTTTCCCACTAGAGCCAGGAGTGTTAGTGCAGACTTGTGACTAGTGTTAGTGCAGGATTGTTCTGGAGTGGTACATTCATGGAGCCAGAGGTTAAGCCTGAGTGTATGAGGGAGGTAGAGTTAAAGCCCTGAGAGGGAAAGTTAGGCATTTCTCTCCATTTTGGTCCATTCATAATTCTTTCCCAAAGTTAAGGGGAAAGTGGAGTCCCATCAATGCATAGGATAAAGTACATTTCTAGTTCTGAAGTACATAAGCCCTGTGTTCTTGGGCTAAAGGTCATCTGTGAAGGGCCACTTGGAGGACTTTTCAAGTTAATTCCTAGTCCTCTTTGAGAAGAGTGAATTGGTCATAGAGAGCTGCTGGCCTTTCTGACCCAGAGCCCTTTCTACTAAGCCTTGTTCTGTTTACAGAACAGTGAGTCTGACAAAGCTCCCAAGAGTCTTAAGAATATAAAGGTCTTGCTGGGCACCAGTGGTTCATACCTGTAATCCTAGTGACTCAGAAGGCTGAGATCTGAGGATTAGGGTTTGAAGTCAATGAGGCAAGAAAGTCCAGGAGACCAAAAAAGCCAGAAGTGGAGCTGTAGCTCAAGGGGTAGATTGCTGGCCTTGAGCACAAAAACCCAGGGACAATGCTTCAAGCCCCAGAATAGACATCAAAATAAATAAATAAATAAAAGAATATAGAGGCTTTTTGTCAACCTCTATGCCTGCCTTCCTCAATACCCTGCTGGTTCTTGTCATCCAGTCTCAAGGCAGTGCAGGAGACACAAGAAGGGTTTTCCCCTCAGAAATGTAAGTATCTTTCAGACCTACCAAAGTCATGGGCAGGTAAAACACCTACCCCATCATAGAAGGAAATGGAATTCATGTGATCCTTGGAAATGATGATATTTCCATGATGACGGTGAGAAAACAGAAGACCATTAGAGTAGAAATGTATATTCCCTGGAACGAAAAGAAAGCTGATCAGAGCTGAGGGGCTGAGTCCTGGGGGCAAAGTCCAGTGTCCTTGTAGGTGGGGTATTCCAAGTAGTAACTAGATACTGTATCAGTTGAGCTTCCATTATATGATTTGTATGCTAACACCATGCTCTGCATAGATCGTTGCAGAGGGAAATAAAGCCATAGTTACAGTCTTTCATAAGAACTAAAAAACAAATGTATAAACTGTCACCTGATAGGGAGGAAGAAAATTCATACTCCTTTACAGGTATCTTCCAAAGAAATATGCTAAAAAAGACTTTGAGTGTATCACTCTTTTGCTAAGTCCATAGATTCTTCTTTTCCTCGCTTTGAAGAAACTGTTTCATCCCTAAATAGATCATGTCCTTCACTCAGGAACCAAGAAAAATCACTAGGGTCTCAGGACAACTAGGAAACATACCCAAAGCAGGTAACATAGAAAAGATGGATAACTGAGAAGCATTAAGGCTAGCTAGGCTATAGAGCCCATGCAGAACACCCATCAGACCCTTAGATAAATCTGTTCTCTGGAGCTGGTCCAAGGTGGATCATTTTTGTTCCTGCCTTGTAGCTTTTCACACAAGGCAAGATATAAGGCAGTTCTTGGAGCCTGAGGCACAAACTTGAGAATACTATCACTAATATCTTATTTCTAAGGCATAGGCACTAAGGACAAGGAGTAACTACTAGAGTTGTGGTTCTAGGAAAGTAGTCCCAAAGCTCTGGAGGGTTGTCTCTGCACGAGAGGTAAGAAGTCAGTAGACTACAAGTTCTAAAGGCTTCTTGAGTAGGTGGGGTTTTAGGACAGGAGAGGCCTAGTGAGTATGAATGGGAGTTAGAGAGGAATGGGGGAAATGGAGGGTAGTTTTTCTATACAGGAAAAAGGAATGGAGCCTGACCTTCAATATAGGTCAGCAGAGGGAAGTCCTCTAGTCCTTCCAACAAGGAAAACATGATTTTCCCTGCACATTACTCCAAGGTCTGAACCAATCTCTGTCATTATCTTCAGAGCACAAAGAGATAAATGAAATAACTCATCAGGTGGCCCAGAATCAGTGCTGGTCTCTGAGATTCAAATTCACAGAAGTCATAGTATTTCTGATATCTACTCTGGATTTTTGACTATCTGATTACAGATAGTCTGAATGGACATGCCTTTGCAAGGGTTTTTCAGGGACTGGATAGCCAACTCCTGGAGAGATCTCTTTGGCTTCTTATCTCATCCTTAGGGACCCTAGTGGGTACTACTGTCCTTCCCATTCCATTCTGTAAGATGGAAAACCCAGAGTAAAAGGAAGGTTCCCATGAATGCCCAAGAAGCAGCAGGGGCTACAGCATAGCTTTCTTTCTTTATTTTTGGTTGCAAGTCCTGGGGCTTGTATTCAGGGCCTGGGTACTGTCCCTGAGCTTCTTTTGCTCAAGGCTAGCACTCTACCACTTGAGCCACAACACCACTTCTAGCTTTTTCTGTTTATGTAGTGCTAAGCACTCTGCCACTAAGTCACATTCCTAGCTCCAACACCAGGTGTCAAAGAAGAATATGGCCTTTTCTTTTTCAGACCACAAGGAAGTATTTTACCAATACAACTTGTGTAGAGAGGGGACATTTTTCACTTCTAGGGAAATTGAGGCAATAGATGTGTAATTTTCATTCTGTGTCGGCAAGAGAACATAAAATGTTCACAAAAGCCAGGTACCAGTGGCTCATACCTGTAACCCTAGCTACTCAGGAGGCTGAGATGTAAGGATCATGCTTCAAAGCCAGCCCAGGCAGGAAAGTCCTCAAGACTCTTACCTCCAATTAACTACCAGAAAACTGGAAGTAGCATTGTGGCTCCAAGTGGTAGAGCACTAGCCTGTGTGAAAAAGCTCCAAATGCCTACATGCTCTATACCTATGCCTAAGAAATCAAGCCTTCATAGTTCCTCTGAAGCCCTCCGCATGTCATTTCTCAGCAGCAGCCATTCCTTTCCACTCAGAAGGAACAAATATCCTCAGTCTTGTAGTTTTACCATATCTAAACATACCCTAAAACTAGATATTGCTTGCCAGTTTTTACAGAAGGAATCTTGCGTTCTATGACAGCTGTTCCTAAGTGGATAACATACAACTGTATAATTCACTCATGCTCAAAAGAACTTCGTATGGAGCTGACAAACATGAGAAGGTGGTGCAGACAGCTGTTGGGCCTGTCCATAAAGCAGGTAATTGTACCTTGGTCTCAGTCTTTGCAGGATTTGTCTACTGCTTCCTATGTTGTCTGATGAACACTTCTGGGACTTACTGCTGAATAATCTCCACCTGATGAAAAAAATACTCTGGGATCTGGGTGTCAGTGGCTCATATCTACAATCTTAGCTACTTAGGGAGGCTGAAATCTGAGATTTTTTTTGTGCAAAATACAAAATGAAAAATTTTAGGGTTGGGATGTAGCTCAGTGGCAAAGCCATTGCCTAGCAAGTGCAATGTCCTGAGTTCAGTTAAAAAAACTTTTATATACTAGGTGCAGGTGGCTTTTTTTTTGTTTTTTGTTTTGCTAGTCCTGGAGCTTGAACTAAGGGGCTGGGCACTGTCCTTGAGCTTCTTTTGCTCAAGGCTAGCACTCTACCACTTGAGCCACAGTGCCACTTCCAGCTTTTTCTGTTTATGTGGTACTGAGGAATCAAACCCAGGGCTTCATGTATGCTAGGCAAGCACTCTACCACTAAGCCATATTCCCAGCTGATTTTTTTTTTTTTGGTTGGTTGTGGGGCCTGGACTCTGGGCCTGGGCACTGTCCCCCAGCTCTTCAGCTCAGGGCTATTGCTCTACCACTTGAGCCATAGTGCCACTTCTGACTTTTTCTGCTTATGTGGTGCTGAGGAATTGAACCCAGGGCCTCATGCCTGCAAGGCACGCACTCTACCACTGAGCCACCTTCTTAGCCCCATCCCAGCTGACTCTTGTAATCTTACTCAGGAGGTTGAAATCTAAGGATAGAGCCAGGAGAGTCCTGGAAACTCTTATCTTAAAATAACCAACAAAAAGCTGGAAGTAGAAGTGTGGCTCAAGTGGTAAAGTAGCCAGCCTTGAGCACAAAAGCCAAGGAAAGGATGAGGTCTTGAGGTCAAGTCTCAATACCAGCATAGGAACATGTGTGGGTGTGTACATGCACCCCCCACCCACACACACCCACAAAGGGAGTCAGTCAACTATTTCCCAAAGGAGCAAATAAAATTGGGAGATTAAGCTGGGCGCTGGTGGCTCAGGCCTTAATCCTAGCTACTCAGGAGGCTGAGATCTGAAGATTACGGTTCAAAGCCAGCCCGGGCAGGAAAATCTGTGAGACTCTTATCTCCAATAAACCACTAGAAAACTAGAAGTGGAGCTGTAGCTCAAGCGGTAGAGTGCTTTCTTTGAGCGCCAAGGCTCAGAGTTCAAGCCCCACGGCCGACCCCCCCCCCAAAAAATTGAGATATTAAATACATCTACAAAAGTATCTTCCTAGCAATGTCTATTCAATCAGCTGATAACCATTCTTGTTTTTAATTACTGTGGGCAAAGATTGCTTAAAACTAGATGATTTAATCTTCTTCATTTTTATCTTTAGAAACTTCCTTTTAGTCTTCTTGCATACATCCACAGTTTACTATAGCCCGGCTAATTCCTATTGTAATTCTGTGTGATGCCCAAATACTACATAATCTGGATGAATCCTAGAAATATATAATTAAATATAAAGCAAGTCCAAGAAGAACAAACACAATGTGAGTCTATTTGGATTAAGTACAAAACAGGACTGTATAGGGATATGGGCTTGTGTGGTAAAACTCTAAAGCAAATTCTGAAGGATTAGGTAATGGGCAGCTTCTCTGGCTTGTCAGCAGGGTGGAGAGGGCATCTGAAGGACATAAATGAATGGGAAACTGAATAGCAAGAAGTCTTGTGATAGCAGAAGCCACTGGCTAGGAAAGAAAAAGTTCTGGAGCTGGAAGAATTTCAAGGGGAAGGAAGAACTATGCTCACCCATAACTACTCTGGAGGAGAAAGTCAGAAGGCCTGCACTACTCCCCAGATCTGGAGAATCCTGGAAGGTAGATGCTGCTGTTAACTGACACTGTAATCTGGCCAGTTTTCTTTCTTTCTTTTTTTTTTTTGTCGGTCGTGGGGCTTGAACTCTGGGCTTGGGTGCTGTCCTTGCGCTCTTCAGCTTGTGGTGAGCACTCTACTGCTGGAGCCACAGCGCCACTTCCGGTTTTCTAGTGGTTTATTGGAGATAAGAGTCTCACGGACTTTCCTGCCCTGGTTGGCTTTGAACCGAGATCCTCAGATTTCAGCCTCCTGAGTAGCTAGGATTACAGGCGTGAGCCTCCGGCGCCTAGTCAGTTTTCATTTCTTCTACTGGGGTTCAGGACTTGAAGCATCAATCAAGACAATATATACTAAGAAGCTCAAGATAAATATTTTCAGGAATGGGAAAACAGCAATTTCTAACTAATCATCTAATGCAAATAGAGGCAGATTTACCAAGACGGTAATGACACCTAAATTTCAGGACCCTTCACCTATCCAAGCCTACTTCCAAAGCCTAAGAAAAAATTTAACTATTTTTATTACTTTCTTCTAAGTGAGCCCCTAAATTCTATAAACTTCAAGGCTCATGACTAGGTTAGTCTTTGTGAGCCCTGAAGAGGCAAAATACTTAATACAATGAATGAGAAGATTCCTGTTTAAATTTCTATATATTTTTTGTCAGTCATGGGACTTGAACTCATGGCCTGGGTGCTATCCCTGAGCAATTCTGCTCGAGGATACAGTCTCCCTTCTGCTTTTTGAGTGGTTAACTGGAGGTAAGAGTCTCTTGGGGAGCCAGGCGCCTATGGCTCACGCCTATAATCCTAGCCACTCAGGAGGTTGAGATCTGAGGATCTAAATTCAAAGCTAGCCTGGGCAAGAACCTCAGTGATATTCTTATCTCCAATAAACCACCAGAAAACCAGAAGTGATGCTGTGGCCCAAGTGGTAGAGCACTAACCTAGAGCTGAAGAGCTAAGGGACAACGCCCAGGCCCAGCATTCAAGTACCAGGACCAACCAACCAAACAAATAAAAAACAAAAACAGTTTCATGGGGATTGAAATACAATCCTCAGATCTCAGCTTCCTGAGTAGCTAGGATTACAGATGTAAGCCACCAGCACCTGGCTTCCTGTTCCCCGTCAGTCATGGGGCCTGAACTCTGGGCCTGGGCACTCTCCCTCAGCTCTTCAGCTCAAGGCTAGTGCTCTACCACTTGAGCCACAGAGCCATTTCCCGCTTTTTCTGCTTATGTGGTGCTGAGGAATCAAACCCAGGGCCTCATGTATGCAAGGCAAGCACTCTACCACTAAGCCACCTTCCTAGCCCCTCCTGTTTAAATTTCTATCTATTGAATTCTCCTGCCTCAGAAAAATGAATCTATCTCAAGAACTAAGAATGTTTGATATTTAAGCTCTTAAAACAATGTGACTAGGCTAACAATGTGACTAAGTGGCAGAACAGTTGCCTAATAGGCAAGTACTGAGAACTCACATGAAAGTAGAATTTTAGGGCTGAAGTATGTAGCTCAGTGATGGAGGCTTTTGGCTCAATACCTAGCAAAACACACATACAAACACACACAGGGACTAATAAGATCTTATAAATAATTGCACCTTTAAAAAATTATTATTTGGATGGTTAGTTGAGTATAAGTCCCTAAGACTTTTCTGCCTGGGCTAGCAGCCACCAGTGACTAGTTACATTATTATTATTTTACAGAGACCTAGGCTATACTGAATCTTGCAAACTCAGTAAAATGCAAGATTAATTTTCTAACACATCCTTTGCTAAGAAGGTACAGACTAATTTTGGCAAGTATTTTTGCTGTTGTGCCTGCTATCAAAACTATAGAAGTGGTGGAGGTGTGGTACAAGTGGCAGAGTACCAGCTTTGAGAAGAAAAGCAAGTAAAAGCTCCAGACCCTAAATTCAAGCCTCAGTAATGGGATAAATAAATAGAACACTATGCAAGGTATGCAAAGAGGGGAGCTGGGATTGGGGGAGGTGTGTGTGTGAAATAACAGAAGGGGTGAATTTAGTCAAAGTACACTATACACATGTATGGAAATAGTGCAGTAAAACCCCTTTGTGTAATCAATCTACTCTAATAAAAATGAAAACAAAAAATAAAACAAAAAGCAAAATATATACAAACAATCTTGTTGGTGGCATTGTCACACACTGCATGACTTCCACAAATGTTCCTAATTTCCAGCTCTTCTGCACTGAGATCTGGAGGAGCAGAAATGAAGGACAAAGGCATGCTAACAGATGCTGTTACCACCCCCAGCACTCTGTGGGTTGAAAGGAAGACCTCCTTGTGCATGTCTTCTATGTGAATGGAGAAGCTGAACCAGTGATCTGAGAAAAAGGAGAGGAATTTGCCACCAGCTAGAACATTTTCAATGAGAACAAATCATCCAGAAAGAGGATTTGCTTAGTGGAGGTTGAGGAATTTGTGAAGTCAGAGCTCTTCCTCCGCACAAAAGCTATTTGCAACAGGGAAAGAACAGGATCACATGAAAGTCTTATTTTGGGGTTTGGTGTGCTGCTCAGTGGTGCAGTGCTTGCCTGTGAGGCCTTGGGTTGGATCCTCAGCAAAACTCACATTCTCTCTCTCCCTGTCTCTCTCTGCTTGTCTCTCTCTCTTCCCCCTCCTTTTCTCTTTCTCTCTCCCCCCCTCCGCCCCCATTACTTTAAGGAGACCTAAAAGCAACATGGAGCAAACCCCCATCATATCCATATAATAAGATCCAAAGGTTCTTGAATGTTCTATCAGCACAAACGCTGACAACTGGATTGAGAGGACAGAAAGTATACAAAATGAAGGGAGTCTGTTGATTTCTCAGAGTTCGACTTTTAAATTAAGCTATAAACCAGGTGCTCTTTTTTGCTGAAAAGGATACAAGAGGTGTGGCCAGAAATCCAGAAGGCAGAGTCATAAGCCTAGAGTTGAAATCCAGAGCTCAGAGTTGAAACTCAAGAGCCAAGGGGGCAGGACATTTCCAGGTGATAAGTCCTAATCAAGAAACTACTACCTTTCATAGAAAGGGAAGGCAACTCAGAAGGCTGATCCGAAAGGTGGCGGGCAACTCTAGGAAGTCACAGCTAACAGAACCAAGAGCCCAGAGGACAGAGCTACCAGCCAGCCACAGATCATTTCCAGTTCTTGACCTTCATCAAGGAATTAATATGCCAAGTTGGATTCAAATCTCCTTAGTCTGTTGACCCCTTTTTCACTTCCATTTTTTCTTGTGTTTGAACCTGAAGCTAAGAACTATCTATTATCCTATTCTGGTCCCATTTTGTCCTATGTTTGGAAAGCTGGGGTAATTAACTTAGTTCATAGCTTCACTGTCATACAGACAGGGAGGAAAATTGTGTTTAGGAACTACATTCAACAGTGTACTATAATCCAGAACCTCATCTACAATGGGTTATGGTCTTCATGATGGCACTCAGCATATTGGAGCTCATGTGATGTAGGAATCTAAGTTGTTACAGTTGTGAGATGAGACCCTGGGGCATGAGTGACTGTATTTTGTATATTGAAAAAGGATGTGAATCAAGGGGCCAGAAAGTAGATTAGTATGAGATAAATTCAACACATGGAAGGTTTTTGATTGTTGAGTTAGAGAGGGTTTCAGGGAAGGACCTCTGAAAGGAGGAGCTGGGTACAGTTCCTACCTGGCAACCTGCAACCAAATGGGAGTCTCAGTCTTATAAGCAGAAGAAATCAGCAGACCAACAACCTGGAAAAGCTTGGGAGTAAAGCCTCTAGCCCTAGTCTGTCTGATCCTTGACTTTTGCCTCATGAAACCATAGATCCAGACAAGCATACCTGGACTTCTGACTTGCAGAATGATGAGGTAACAAGTGTTTTTTTTTTTTGTATGCCAGTCCTAGGGCTTGAATTCAGGGCCTGGGCACTGTCCCTGAGCTTCTTTTGCTCAAGGCTAGCGCTTTACCACTTGAGCCATAGTATCACTTCTGGCCTTTTCTGTTTATGTGGAACTGAGGAATCAAACCCAGGGCTTCATGCATGCTAGGCAAGCACTCTACCACTAAACCAAATTCCCAACCCAAGGTAACAAGTGTTTTAAACTACTAAATTAGTGGTAATTTGTTATACAGCAATAGAAAAATCTAGAATTGTTTAGGATTAGAGACTCTATTTCTGAAAATGCTGCTGTTTAAGCATATTCTGAGAATAAATTTCAGGCAGCAACAAGAAATCCAGGTACAGTTCTGGGACTAGCTTTTTTGCTTGTGAAACCAACCCAAGTTTCCTCATCCACAAAGTGGGTAGATCAAAGGAGAAAAGCTATAAGAAAACAATTCTTTAATAACAAGTCTTTTCAAATAACAGATGTATTATTAATCACAACACCCATGCCAGTATCTGCAATCCAAGGACCCAGACAGAGTGAACAGAAGTCACAGCTACTTACCTTCCTCAGGGCAGGACTGCAGACTACTAGAATAAAGATATACTCCCTCTCCTTCTGTTAGAAAACTTCCCAGGAAACACTCATCACCCTTTAAAAACATTAACAACAAAAGAAGAGATGATTTACAGTATAAAATACTCACAGAATAAAAAGTCCTGCCTAGTTTTACCTGTCTAAAAGGTTGAGTCAGACTCAAATATGCCCAACTTATTCCATGGCCTTCAGCATTGCCTGGCTTTTTGTCATGTAACTGACATCCCTGATACATGCTGAGAAAAGGAAATGTCAAGGTCCTCTTCCAGTCCTGTCATCAGAGCCTGTGATACTTATTCATGTTCTAGTGGATTTAATTTTTTCTGTGAAAAATTCAGTTTTTTCCTTGGCTTAAAGCCTTTACATTTAGCTCTACATGTCTAGGTCAAGCCCTGTCTCAGATCTGAAAAAATGAAAGGTCTAAATGGCAAAAGAAATCCATCTAATTCTATCCCTCAGAATTGGTTATTTCCAAAAGCCTGCTAGGAAGGGGGAAGTGCAAATTGGAATCCAAGATAAAGAAGTACAAATCCCTTAGCTTAGCAGTTAAGGTGAAATATTACCTTTATGAATTACTTGTTTTATGCTGATAATGATGTTAATACCGGGGATGAGAAGGCTGCTTACCCTCATTGCTTGTTGGGTTTTCTCAGACAATTTTACATCATCATCTTCTACCTGTGTCCAACAGAAATGCAGATTTTCAGTTTCCTACTCCAAGGATAGAGCTTGCTACTTCTCCTCACTGTGTTCATATATCTCCCAAGAGAATGATTTAAAACTCCCTCCACCATGTCCAATATTCTCAAGCTCTGATAGGCTAATAGAGGTGGCTACTGGTTAGTAAGGCACAGAGCCCTGGAACATAGTAGACTCTCCCTTGGCACCTTAATCCAGCTAATGGGCCATGGAGAAAATGTTTGTTAATCTCCACTTACATGCCATTTCAGAAGGAAAACAACAATTCTGTTTAAAGATGAAGAAATAAGCACACACTAAACTTTTTGTATGTGTGTGTGCAATCCTGGGGCTTGAACTTGGTCTGGACACTGTCCCTGGGCTTTTTTTTGCTCAAGGCTAGTGCTCTGCTACTTGAGCCACAGTTCTACTTCTTTTTCTTTTTTGGTAGTTTTATTAAGATAAACATCTCATAGACTGACTTTTCTGCCCAGGATGGCTTTGAACCTTAATCCTCAGATCTCAGACTCCTAAGTAGCTAGGATTTCAGGCATGAGTCACTGATACCTGGTCTAAACTTTTTTTTTTTCCAGGGCCCAGGGCTTGGGCACTGTCCTTGAGCTTCTTTTGTTCAAAGCTAGCATTGTACCACTTGAGCCACAGCATCACTTCCAGCATTTTCTGTTTATGAGGTACTGAGAAATCGAATGCAGGGCTTCATGCATGCTAGGCAAACACTCTACTGCAAAGCCACTTCCCAGACCTTAAACTATTTTTTAAAGTGTGTTCTTATTTAAATACATTCATGTCAGAGGATAAGGATAACTTTTTGTTTCTACAGTTCCAGTGTGGCTAGTGGAAAACAGTATAAACAGATTCTAAAATAGGTACTTAGACTTTTAAATATCATACTCTTGCTATCATGGTTTCTATATCCACTTCCTACTGAGGAAATGGGACACTTCTACAAGGAGAGAGACATCTCAGCAGCAATCATTCTGCCTGGAAAAGCGAGCCACAGGAGCCACTTCTCAAGAGCTGTGTGACCTTGGACTTAGAATGTATTCCCTAGATATTATTAGTTTCTAAGGCACAGTATCTTCATCTATTATATGAAGGGTTAACTACTTCCTTGCATCACTTAACAGATAATAAAGCTTTTTTGGGGGGAGGGGTGGTAGGCTGAGGAATTTTCTAAGATTGTGAGAAAATTAAAGAATTGAGATTCACTGACATAAAGAGAAAGGGTTGAGCTAAAACTTTCACTCTTGAAGAGTAGCTAGCTAGCTTTGGATGTAGCAGCCTACTAGGGAGCCCACAAAGCAGCTTTTGCCCAAAGTCCTCCCCATATTTACATATGGGCCTACTTTTACAGATGATACTGACCAGCCAGGAGCAGAATCGGGGTATGGCGGCTGTCAAGACTATGTAGCTGGTCTCTGTGGTAACAGTGCCATCTGTAGGAAGACCACAGACATGTCAGTTATTCCCAACCATTTCTATCCCACAGACATTTAGATCCCTTGCTTCTCAAGATCAAGGACTTCTCTTACTAGCACAGTCTAATGCCCTTAGAAAATGGGAACTTATCTGGGGACAGAGAGACTAATGGGAAGATGGAAGAATAGTTTCCCCATGTAATTAACTTGGGTATTTTTCTGAACAAATAGAAACCTACACTTAAGAGTTGCAGAAATTAGTCTTACTTTTTCTTTTCCTTTTCTTTTTCTTTTTTGTAGTGCTGGGAATTAAACCCAGGGCCTCTAGCCCTCATCCAGCCTTCTTCCCTTTTTTTGAGATAGGGTCTCACTCAAGACAGGCATCAAATTTGGGATCCATCTGACTCTGGAGTGGAGGATTATAGCATGTGCCATCATGCCCAATTTAGCTTACTTTTCATTTTTATCTAGGTAATTACAGGTACTACAAAATACACCTATTCAAACCAACTTGAAATTATCAGGATCATCTTCCCAGCACTGGATATCATTCTTTAAAGTTTTTGGCCAACATAATGGGTAACAAATTGTATCTAACTGTTGTTACAAAATGTTTCATCTTAATTACCACTAAAGCTAACTATTTTCATATACATCTGTCCCTCCTTATATTTTTTATGGTGTTTTTTTTTTTTTTGGTCAGTTGTGGGGCTTGAACTCTGGGCTTGGGTGCTGTCCCTGTGCTCTTCAGCTCAAGGCCAGCACTCTACTGCTTGAGCCACAGTGCCACTTCCGGTTTTCTAGAGTTTTTTATTGGAGATAAGAGTCTCATGGACTTTCCTGCCCTAGCTGGCTTTGAACTGTGGTCTTCAGATCTCAGTCTCCTGAGTAGCTAGGATTACAGGAGACACCAGCACTCAGCTTTTTTGTTTTTTTTTTTTTATTGTAAAAATAGTGTACAGAGGGGTTACAGCTAGTAAAGTGAGTATATTTTCTATCAAGCATTGTTTCCTCCTTTGTTTTTCCCCTACTATCCCTTTCCTCCCTATATTTTTATTTTCCATTTCTGCAATTGGCATGTTTATATTTTTGCCCATATTACCATTGAGTAGGATACATTTTTTTTCTTATTAAGTTGTAAGAGTTTTTCATTAATTATTATGCTACTATTTTATCATAGGTATTCTAATATTTCCACCAATTTATGCTGGTCTTTTGCCTTAGTTTATGGTTTATTTTGTTCCCCCCTGCCAAAGTTTCAAGGTTTGCTCTCCAAAGACTTACCCTCTTCTTTTCTTTCTTTTTTTTTGGGGGGGTCAGTTGTGGGGCCTGAACTGTGGGCCTGGATGCTGTCCCTCAACTCCTCAGCTCAAGGCTAGTGCTCTACCACTTTGAGCCACAGCTCCACTTCTGGCTTTTTCTGCTTATGTGGTGCTGAGGAATCAAACCCAGGGCCTCATGCATGCAAGGCAAGCACTCTACCATTGACCTACCTTCCCAGCCCAACTTACCCTTTTCTTTAACCAAGATCTGAGATGTCAAAAATGATTCTGAGAAGACCACAGATCCTAAGCACCCTCTTCCTCTCAGCAAATCAGGAATGTCATAGACAGTCATACAAGCCTATAGTAAATGAAAAAACAGAGTAAGATCAGTTATCAGTCAAGTACCTCTTGGGAAAGATGCTTAAGAAACATAACAGGGCTGGGAATGTGGCTTAGTGGTAGAGTGCTTGCCTAGCATGCATGAAGCTCTGGATTTGGTTCCTCAGTATCACAAAAACAGAAACGGCTGGAAGTGGTGCTGCGGCTCAAGTGGTAGAACAAAAGCCTTGAGCAAAAGAAGCTCAGGAACAGTGCAGAGGCCCTGAGTTCAAGCTCCAGGACTGACAACAAAAAAAGAAAAAAAAAACAAACATAACAAAATACTACCTTAAAGCAGCACAAAGCTGCTTACTATGTAGTTTGTAGGGAAAACCGAGCTATACTGAAAAACCTCTGAACTGAGAGATATTTCAAAATCACCCAGGCTTCCCTGCAATTGCTCCTTCATCAGAGACATATTTGTGCCACACTGGAGCTTGAACTCAGGGGCTGGACACTCCCCCTGGGCTTTTTTTTTTTGTTTAAGGCTAGTATTCTACCACTAGAGCCACAGCCCTATTTCTGGCTTTTTGGTGGTTAACTGGAGGTAAGAGTTTCATGGACTTTCATGCCCAGGCAGGGTTTTTTTTGTTTTTTTTTTGAGGGGGGAGGAGTCTGGTCATGGGGCCTGAACTCTGGGCCTGGGCGCTGTCCCTCAGCTCTTCAGCTCAAGGCTAGCACTCTACCACTTGAGCCACAGCACCACTTCTGGCTTTTTCTGCTTATGTGGTGCTGAGGGCCTCATGCATTGCAAGGCAAGTGCTCTACCACTGAGCCACCTTCCCAGCTCCCCCAGGCAGGTTTTAAGTCATGATCCTCTTGAGTAGTAAGGATTACAGGCATGAGCCACTAGTGCCCAGTGCATCAGAGACGTATTTAGGCTAGAAGGACAGCATCTTTATGTTCCTATAAATTCCCTCGAATTGTTCTCCCTCTAAGAGACAATACAGCCTTCATTCTTAACTATGACTGGCTTATCAGAGTTGGAGGTATTTCCTGTAGGCTTCTGTACATATATATACTTCATACTCTTAACTCCTTGTTAGGTTTAGGCTGGGGTTCTGAACAAGACTGGAAAGGTAGTTATTTACTTGGTGACACATCTTTGTGGATATTTATGTGTACATGTCTATATCTGCTAATGTTCCTTCTAATCCTCCTTACCTATGGTATCACTGACTGCAGTTAGCTCTAAAATATTGATTTCCAGCTGGGCACCAGTGGCTCACAACTGTAATCCTACCTACTCAAGAGGCTGAGAAGTTCAAAGCCAGCCTGGGCAGGAAAGTCTGTGAGACTCTTATCTTCATTAAAACTTCACAACTGTGGCTTAAGTGCATTAACCTTGAGCAGGGCTTTGGGGGAAGGTGCCCAGGCTCTGCATTCAAGCCCCAGGATCAGTACACACACGCACGCAAGCACACGCACGCAAGCGCGCGCACACACAAATTTAATTCCAGAAATAAGCAAAGCATGAGTTTTAAACTGTGCAGCATTCCAAGCAGTGTGTTGGAATATATTATCTACTGTATTCCATCCTGGTGGGGATATGAACCATTCCTTTGTCCAACACATCTACACTGTGAGTCACTTAATAACCATCTTGGTTACCAACTGGACTAGTATCATAGTATTCATTCAAGTAAGAGCCTTTTTTTTTGGGGGGGGTCTGGTTGTGCTGCCTAAACTCTGGGCCTGGGCACTATCCCTCAGCTCTTCAGCTCAAAGCTAGTGCTCTATCAGTTGAGCCCCAGTGCCACTTCCGGCTTTTTTTTCTGCTTATGTGGTGCTGAGGTCGAACCCAGGCCTCATGCACGCAAGGCAAGCTCTGTACCACTGAGTCACCTTCCCAGCTCAAGTAAGGACCTTTTTAAATTCCCCCCTTGTACTGATAATGCCCTCATGCTTGCTAGGTTCCTACTCTGCCACTTGATTTTGCCCCTAGCACTTTTGTTTTTGTTTTGAGATTAGGTCTCAAAGGTAACTTTGCCTGGGTTTGTCTCAAACTCATAATCCTCCTGCTTCCACCTTCTGAGTAGCTTGGATTATAAACTTGTACCACCATATAACTCCTTTTCTCTCTCTCTTTTTTTGTCGGTCTTGGGGCTTGAACTCTGGGCCTGGCTGGTGTCCCTCAGCTCTTCAGCTCAAGGCTAGCACTCTACCACTTGAGCCACAGCACCACTTCTGATCTTCTGGTGGTTAATTGGAGAGACGGATTTTTCTGCCCGGGCTGGCTTTGAACCATGATCCTCAGATCTCAACCTCCTGAGTAGCTAGGATTATAGGTGTGAGCCACTGGCACCCGGATTCTTTTTCTCTTTTTTAAAAAAAGAGTTTATAATATACTTTTATAACTTATAATTTTGTTTTCCAATAGTTAAACTATAACTGGGTGACAGTTTTCCTTATTTTACCTTAATAATGGCCCTCAAACACAAAATTAATGATACTGGCAATGTATTGTAACAAATTGTTACTAATCTTTTACTGTACCTAATTTATAAATTAAACTTTACCATAAGTATGTATGGATAAGAAAAATATAGTAGATAAAGGATTTGATACTATCTGAAATTTTAAGCATTCAGTGGAGGTTCTGGATTTGTAATCACCTATTATTGACCAAAATACTTTCCAAAATACTAAACAGAAGTTGGGGGTTTAGACTTTAGCAAGTATTATTATCACCTAACTATTGAAGAATAGATCTTAATTATGTCACCAAAAAGTCTAATTAGCTCTAAAACAATATCAACACAAAATGTTAACAAGTGGGTGTATTATAAAGCATTCATTACTTATAACCTTAAAAAATGACATTTGTATTATTCTCCATGGATGAGATAACATTATTGACAGGAACTTGTGATGCTTTCCTCTGGTGATGGGAATGCAAGTCATCCATAGCTGCCCATCGAGTTTCTCATGACCAAAGCCTGCTGAAATTAGGGCTTAGGCAGTGGACATAGGACACACTCAAGGTCAAATTTGTGTGTATACACACAACAAACAGAACATTTGATATTCAGTATCTTTTCATAAATTGTTTATCAACTGTCTTCATATCAGTGTGCACTGGGTGCAGCTGCAACTGGCCCACAAACTGGCTCCCCTAGGGCCATGCTATTTCCAGGGACCAATATCTCAAGGATATACTTCAAGGACCATTATCTCAGCGGGGTATTGGTGGCTCATGCCTGACTACAGTTCAAAGCCAGCCCAGGAACAGGGCGTCGGTGGCTCATGCCTGTAATCCTAGCTACTCAGGAGGCTGAGATCTGAGAATCTTGGTTCAAAGCCAGCCTGGGCAGGAAAGTCCATGAGACTCTTATCTCCAATGAACCATTAGAAAACTGGAAGTGGCACTATAGCTCAAGCGGAAGAGTGCTTGCCTTGAGCTGAAGAGCAAAGGGACAGTGCCCAGGTCCATAGTTCAAGCCCCATGACCGACCAAACCCCCCCCCCAAAAAAAAAAACAACTATCTATGGACTTGGAATGTAAAGAAACAATTGTTGAAAGCTTGGTCTGTTGGTCAAGGCAGGCTTTTCCTAGCTCATATTTTCACACAAGGACAGCACAATCTCAGCTCCTTGGAGACCTCCCACCTACTTCCACTTTACTGCTTATAGATATCCTTCTACAAGCCATTCTTAACCAGCTGACTCACAAAAGCTCTGCTTACCGTTTTCACAAAGAATAAGCTATCTTCATTGTCCAGAGGCACAATTCTAGAAGAGTAAAGAAATGAGAGAAAGACATTAAAGGATTTCTAACTGGACTGAAATTCACAATCTTTTTTTTTTTTTTTGTCAGTCCTGGGGCTTGAACTATGGGCCTGGGTGCTGTTCCTGAGCTCTTCAGCTTAATGCTTGAGGCAAATGCTTGAGCTACAGCACCACTTCTGGTTTTCTGGTGATTAACTGGAGGTAAAGAGTCTCACAGACTTTCCTGTCTGGGCTGGCTTTGAACCACGATCTTCAGCTCTTAGCCTCCTGAGTAGCTAGGATTACAGGCATGAGCCATGGGCACCCGTCTTTTTTTTAATGGCAACAACTCTTTTCTCAGAGATTTTTAACCTTGGACTGCATGTGCAGAATTAGTCACTGAAGTTATATAGTCACTGAAGTGAATATGTCCTGACCTCTGCCCCTAAGCTTTCTGTGGAAGTCCTCAAGGTATGAGGGCTTACCTGAGTACAGCCAGCCTAAGCCCAAGCCTGAAGTGATCTTTGTGGGGGTCCTCTCTCCTTCACTTGTTATTTTTATTTTCTTTCTTTTTTTGGTGCGGGTCCTGGGGCTTGAATTCAGGGACAAGATGCTGTCCCTGAGCTGCTCTCTCTCTCTTTTCTGTTTTTTTTTTCCAGTCCTGGGGCTTGAACTCAAGGCCTGGGGCACTGTCCATGAGCTTCATCTGTTTAAGGCTAGCACTCTACCACTTGAGCCACAGCACCACTTCCAGCTTTTTTGGTGTATATGGTACTAAGGAATTGAACCTAGGGCTTAATCCATGCTAAGCAAATACTCTACTACTAAGCCACATTCCTAGCCCCTATTTTTTATTTTTCTGAGCGATGTCTTGCTCTGTATCCCAGGCCAGGCTTGAATTCATGATCTCTGACCTCAGCCTTAGTGCTGGGATTATAGGTATGCATCACTAAGCCTCTCCTCCCTTTATGCTCAACTTGCCTCATGTGAGGAGGCACCACACCATACACTTACCTTCCCTGGTTATTCACAGCATGTATATGAAAAGCTGTCTTGGAGCTACAAACCAAAAAGGAAACAAAACAGAAATCAGACTTCTCTTGCTGACTACTGGGTTAGAATCCTCTCAGACATTTACTTCTATACTCTATCTGCCCTACACTTTTTTTTTTTTTTGGCCAGTCCTGGGGCTTGAACTCAAGGCCTGGACACTGTCCCTGAGCTTCTTTTGCTCAAGGCTAGTACTCTACCACTTGAGCCATGGTGCCACTTTGAGTTTTTTCTGTTTATATGATACTGAGAAATTGAACCCAGGGTTTCATGCATGGTAGGTAAGCACTCTACCACTAAGCCACATCCACAGTCCCCCTGCCCTATACTTTCAAGCCACCCAGTGAGAGTGATTTAGTTAATTTAAGCACTTTTTCTGGGGTCCCATGCCATCAGGTACAGAGGAGCCAGGTCTGCTTCCGTACAAGTTCTCAGGGCTGCCTCACATGCTAGCCTCTAACTTCCTCATATAGTTCCTCTACCCTTAACATCTTAGCTTCTCAAAGGTTTAATCAGGAACAATCTCCTTCACACATCTCATTATTTTACTGGAACATTTCTCAAATGGAAGATGAAATATAAGTTACAAAAGTGAAGAAGATTTTTTTTTAAATATAAAAAAGTTCCTTATAAAAGACTTAGTCATTGCTTACCGGAGGGCTGCCTTAAACTGAATCAACTCAAAGGAATCTAACCCAGATCCCAGAATCTGCTCTGCTTCCTCCTTGGCCTGTAAAAAAATAATAAAAAATGAGAGTCAGTTTTCAAGCAGCAAAAAGTACACATACTACTGATAGGAAAAGCACTTCTAACAGATGGCCAATGCCCTTCTCTTCTACATGACTACTTTGTACACATCAGGAAATTAAAGTGAAAGCATCAGGTTAAGGAAAACAGGTGCTTTCTTCAGGCTGGGTTCATGGGAAAAACTCCTAGAGAGAAGTAAGGAGCTAGAATGGTGCAAGTGACATGTGAGGTCTAGGAAATGCTTTTTCCTACCCCTTCCATTAGCTTTGAGGAAGGGAACACTGCCCTCAGTCTCTGCTAGAGGCTAAGAAGATTCAAACTGCTAGAGTTACAGAAGATAAGTTAGAAAACAGTGTGAGAAGTGATGTTGAAGTCCCATGGCTTTGTACAAGTCTAAGATTCAATTCAGTAAGGAGGGGAAATGACAAGGAGCTGGTGTCTACAGCTACAGTCTCTCTGATATCTACATCATACACAACCTTTCCAATGTCAACTGGCTTCTTTCAGGAAAGGTCCTATTGGCATTGGGAGGCATCAAGCCGACTCTTCTCATCTCCTTACTGGGTCAGATTTAGGAATCCAACTCAGCAGGGCAGGTTAACCGCAAAACAGCAAGGAAGAAAATGGTCAGAAAGTGAAAATGCGTGCGATTGTCTAGGAAAGGCAAGTCAGATTTTCAAGTTTGTACTTGATTTTTTAAAAAACACTGGATTATAGAAAACCAAACTCAAAACAAACTTACCTAACTTTGTTAAGATTCACGGTTCTTTAACTTCTAAAAGCAGTTTGTTTAAATATTAACAAGATAATGACTTTTCTTTAACAGAACAGGAATTTACAAAGACATGCTGACTAGCTGTCACTTGTCAAAACACAGCAGCTGGCCAAAGGCAGCAGAAATTTAGTGCTCTATAAGCAATTTGCTGGTGCCACACAGACATTCTTTAAACACTTCAAGGTGTCTTAAGAAAAAACAATGAAAATAATGATTACAGAAAAGGAAATTTAAATTACCTTTGTTAGGCTGGAAGTTTTAGTGTAACATGCAATGCCAGCCAAAACAGCCTCAATAACAGCAGCATATATCTGGGACAAGAGCCTACTTTAAAAGCAAAAAATAATGATTAACTACAGTAACACAAGGTTTCATCAAAAGCTGCATGCATATAAATGATAATCTCCCAATTTAAAAGACTGAAAAAAATGAAAAAAGGATTCATCGAAAAAGGGAACTTATTGAAAAAAGCAACTCTAAACTTTAACGCTTTTTAAAGTCTTATGCCTATTTGATTTATATTTTGCTCTTGTTAAATTACCTTAAAAAAAGTCAGCTCCTCTGAGTTTGGCTCAAAGGACCAATTCTGTAAACAAAGAGAATAAAACTGGTAGTCTTGCTTGGAACTGGTGGCTCATGCTTATAATCCTGGCTACTTAGAAGGCTGAGATCTGAGGGTTGCAGTTCAAAATCAGCCCTGGCAGGAAAAGTATATGAGACTCTTATCTACAATTAACCACAAAAAGCTGGAAGTAGAGTTGTGGCTCAAGTGGTAGACACTAGCCTTGAGCAAAAGAGCTAAAGAGCAGGCCTGGAACCACTACCTACAGACCAAAAATTCCTTCAGTATACGATACTGACCTGCAGTTTTTCCGAGCACCATCATACTATATGTCCTCTCCCAACCAGACCTGCTAAAAGCTGGCTGTTACTGTGATTTCAGGGCTGGAGACCTTATTTAAGAGAGACTGAAAAGCTAAATTCAATTAATTTCAGATTAGCAGCTTCATGGATCATTATATCCTGAATTCTGTTCACCAGGCCAGGGGCACAAAGTATGCTTGATAGGAAGGGGCCTGGTGAGGAAACTGCCAATGAGTTTTCAGTCCACTTCCAGGTGAGACCAGAAGACTTCACACCATGATATTGGGGTTAAGTATGAACGCTAATCCCCCAAAATGTAAAGATATCTCCTCTCTAGTTTGATTCAAACATCACTCAATCTACACTGGTCAGCCTTCCCTTTGCTTTAGTGTCTATATAAATTATTAGACAAGAGCTCAATACACAAGCTAATGCCTACCTCTCTACCCCGCAAATGGGTCAACTACAATTCTAGCTACTCAGGAGGCTAACATCTGAGGATGCAGGTTTTTGAAGTCAGCCATGGAAGATAAATCCAAAAGACATTATCTTCAATTAACCAGTAAAAAGCCAGAACTGGAGGCATGGCTCAATTGGTAGAGTACCAACCAGGAACAAAAAAAAAAAAAAAAGTTTAGAATGCAAGACATGAGTTCAAGTCCCAGTGTGCCAGTACATACACACACACACACACACACAAAAGACCAGGGTGATACTGGTGTCATTTTCACTAGGGTTCCCCAGGTTACAAGTTCTACTAGGTCTATGATTTGGTAATCTCCTGCTATCAGCACAACTAGCAGGAAGCACAACTACTTGCATATCCTAGACTGAAAAGTGGCCCTCCTCTACTAGAGAAGATCATCCATCCATTCAACAGAGAACAGCTGCAAGAAGGGATGGAAAGAATTGATACAGGGCAGTTAGGGAAAAAAAGGGACACTTATATAGTCAAGCAGATCACCCCTGGCAATCAATAGGATGATGGGTGCCACAGCTAGATCACCCTCAGCTCTAGGAACCTGTGTTTTTTGTTTTTGTTCTTTTTTTGGATCCGGTTGTGGGGCCTGAGCTCTGGGCCTGGGTGCTGTCCCTAAGCTCTTCAGCTCAAGGCTAGCGCTCTACCACTTGAGCCACAGGACCACTTCTGGCTTTTTTCTTTTTGCTTATGTGGTGCTGAGGAATTGAACCCCGGGCCTCAGGCATGCAAGGCAAGCGCTCTATCATTGAGCCACCTTCCCAGCCCCAGGAACCTGTGTTTTGAAGAAACCTTCAAATCATCTTCTCTCCCTTCTTCCATCCCTCCTTAATTTCAGTAACAGGATTTGAATCAGAGTCTTGGACTTGCCAGGCTGGTGGTCTAATTAAACCATTCCTCCAGCCTCTTTATGGCCTGTCCTTGATGGCCTTTGGGAAGCTCATGTCTAGACCCCACCCGTTTACTCTGGTGTATAATCAGGTGATAACAGAGCTCTTACTGTATTTGTATTTCTGAAGGAAGATGCCTTTTCTCAATTCATTATATTAATTGTATAAGGGCAGTTTCATTCTAACATTTCCACATACATATACAATGCATCCCAAATGAATCTCCTCTCCTCTTACCACTCTCCTTTATCTTGCACCTACCATTCTTACAACAATTTATTTTTTTATTTTTAATTTTTATTGTGAACATACTGTACAGAGGGGTTACAATTATATAGGCAAGACAATAAATACATTTCTTATCAAGCATTGCAGCCTCCTCCTTTGTTTACCCTTCACATCCCTTCCCAGCCTCCCCCGCCCCCTCTTACAACAATTTCAACTGGTTTCATTGTTCTGTTTTCAATCATATTCATGTAAATGCTTTTGGAAATTTGTAATTCAGCATTACTAAGTTATATCCTGTATATGGTTTCCTAATATATGCAATGTGGGGGTAAGAGGGAGTCAGAATTAGGTATGTTCTTTTTTTTTGCCAGTCCTGGGGCTTGAACTCAGGGCCTGGGATCTGTCCCTCACCTTCTTCTTGCTCAAGGCTAACACTCTTACCACTTGAGCCACAGTGCTACTTCTGACTTTTTCTGAGGAATAGAACCCATGGCTTCATGTATGCTAGGCAAGCTCTCTACGACTAAGCCATATTCCCAGACCCTAGGTATGAACTTTCTTTTTCTCTCTCTTTTTTTTTTGTCAGTCATGGGGTTTGAACTCTGGGCTTGGGCATTGTCCCTGAGCTTTTCAGCTTGAGGTAAGGACTCTTATCACTTGAGCCACAGCACCACTTCCAGTTTTCTGGTGGTTAATTGTAGAAAAGAGTCTCATGGACTTTCCTGCCTGGGCCGGCTTTGAACTGTGATCCTCAGATCTCAGCCTCCTGAGTAGCTAGGATTAGCTAGGATTATAGGTATGAGCTACCGGCGCCTGGCTAGGTATGAACTTTCTAAGGCTACAAAGCCAAGATTCAGATCATAGCTATGTTCCATAAACAGGAATTCAGAGAAAATACTCAATTTGCATGAGATTTCCCACAAATTCTGCCAATGGATTTCAAAATGTTTTGTTTTTGGAAAATCCTCCAATAAAAATAATGCATCACACACACACACACACACACACACACACACACAAAAAGAGGAAATTATGTCATATAAATGCATGAGGGTGCAGATAAAAACTCTTGAGTTCTGGATAGAGGAGCAGATAGAGAAGTTGGCAAGGCCCTCCAACCTCAATGTGATCTCCTGGGAAACTACATGACCATGTCCACCTCACAGCCAGATGTCCTAACTGTCAAGCTCATTAGGAAGTAGACAGACCAGACACAGTAAGAAGCTCAACTTTGAAAAAGAAAAAAAAAAGATATAAAGATTTAAAGATTTACATTTGTTCAGTTTTCCTGAGAAGCTTGTCATTCTTGGGTAGCTTGTCATCATCACCTGTGAAAGAACACATGCATTAAGAATGTGACAGAGTACAGGAAGTGCTTGATTTAATTGGAAGCATTTTCAAGAATGATATTTTTAGAAATTAAATACAATTCAAGTACAAGCAATAGTGGTTTCTCCCAATAGCCTCCTGGACCTTCATCCCTGACATTCTTAATTTTACAACCCATTCAGCATCACCATTGAATACCAGAGAAGATGTGTAGAATTTTAAGCTCTGATAATTTTTAGTTGTATTTTTTGTGCTTTTTTTTTTTTTTTTGGTTGTGGGCCTGGGTGCTGCCCCTGAGCTCCTCAGCTCAAGGCAAGCTCTCTACTACTTGAGCCACAGCACCACTTCTGGTTTTCTGGTGGTTAACTGCATATAAGAGTCTCATGGACTTTCCTGCCAGGGTTGGCTTAGAACCGCAATCCTCAGATCTCAGCCGACTGAGTAACTAGGATTACAGGCATGAGCCACCAGTACCTGGCCTTTTCTGACTCCTTTTGATTAAACTCTTGCTACATGATATAACATAAATGTTATAATTTTCCTATCTTACAGCTATACTCACTTGTTTAAATAATTAATCTTAGTTACTTTAAAATGACCCAGTCATGCTTCTTTCCAGAGTTTTCTGGCTTATTTAGTAACACTCAAGAGAAACTCTGGCTTCTGATGTATTCCTCTCTGGGTATCAATGCTGGAATCCACATGCATCTTCTAGATTTTTCTCTATATCTCTGGAGGACTGTAGTTTCTGGATGGTTCCAGTTAGGCTGGCCTTTCTGGGTGGGGCTATAGAAGTTCCTAGCTCCTAGGTGCCCTTTAGTATGGCCTATTTTCACTTTCATCATAAGAACAACTGAATGGAAACCTTGTAGTAACTCACACCTTCTACTATCTGAAAATAGGTCTTTTTCATAGTGGCCTTTCCTCTGACACTGAGCATGGGGTCTATGCATGGGTACACCTTGGCACTACAGGCTGATCAATGGTTTTTCTCCTGAAATACATTCTGTGAATAATGTGTTGGGCTGCAAACAAGGAGGGTCAGCTAAGGCCCACAAATCAGTACCAATAGCTTCTGAGCAAATTAGTTAAATCTTATCTTTTCATTCATGGGAGAAACCATTCATTAGGTAAGTTGATAAGATGGTGATTTACCCAAGTAAGGAATGTGAGTAGCTCCAAAAAAGTATGTTCTTGAACATGCCAGAGGTCCCTTTGGTGAGACACACTGTGCTACCTGGATATTAGAGAAACATTAAAAATAAAGTTTAAAATAAGAGCAGGCTGACATGTACTGCTGGAGAAAAAAACCATAAGTTAATTAAAGTATATTTCATTTTACCCAAATTAATTTATTTTTTGCCAGTCCTGAGGCTTGAACTCAGGGCTTAGGCACTGTCTGTGAACTTCTTTTGCTTAAGGCTATTCTCTACCACTTGAGCCACAGAGCCACTTAGCTTTTTCTGTTTATGTAGTAATGAGTAATCGAACCCAGGGCTTCATGCGTGTTGGGCAAGCATTATATCACTAAGCTACCTTTCCAGCCCATTTGTTATATTTTAAAGACAGGAAGAAAAGATCATCTTTAATTTTATCATTTCAAAAGATCTGTTTTGTGTGCATGCCAGTCCTGGGGCTTGAACTTAGGGCCTGTGTGCTCAGAGTTATTTTGCTTAAGGCTAGTGCTATTCCATAGATTAACTAGAGATAAGAGTTTCATGAATTTAGCCAGGCGCAGATGGTTCACGTCTGTAATCCTAGCTACTCAGGAGACTGAGATCTAAGGATCGCAGTTCAAAGCCAGCCAGGTCAGGAAAGTCCGTGAGACTCTTTATCTCCAATAAACCACTAGAAAACCGGAACTGGTACTGTGGCTCAAGCGGTAGAGTGCTCGCCTTGAGCTGAAGAGCACAGGGACAGCGCACAAGCCCCACAACCAACATAAAAAAGAAAAAAGAAAAAAAGAAAAAGGGTTTCATGAACTTTCTTGTCTGACTGAGTTGGTTTTTTTTTTTTTAATTATTGTGAAAATACCATACAGAGGGGTTACAATTACATGGGCAAGATAGTGAGTACATTTCTTATCAAGCATTGTTGCCTGTTTCTTTGTTTCTCCATACCATCTCTTCCCCTTTCTACCCGCTCTGACTTGGTTTGGAACCATGATTTTCAGATCTCACCATCCTGAATAACTATGATTTTAGTTGTGAGTAACTGATGCCCAGCTTTTTATTTTTAACTTTGGCATATTGTGAGGTTGCTATTGGGTACTTAGCTCAGGATGCTAATGACTTTACAACTCAAAAAGAAAAAAAGAGGTATTATTTAGGGTTTTTTGTTTTGTTCTGTTGGTCTTGGGGCTTGAACTCTAGGCATGGGCACTGTCCCTCAGCTCTTCAGCTCAAGGCCAGTGCTCTACCACTTGAGCCACAGCACCACTTCTGGTTTTCTGGTGGTTAATTGGAGATGAGAGTCTCACAGACTTTCCTGCTCTGGATGGCTTAGAACCGCAATCCTCAGATCTCAGCCTCCTGAGTAGCTAGGCTTACAGGTGGGAGCCACCAGCGCACAGCTACTGCTTGGGTTTTGACTGTCAATAATATTCTGTCCAGAGCTTTTATAAGATCTAGATTACATATGACAGGCAAAGGTATAGGAAAGCTACAAACTCGTGAAACCCAGGACTTTATCCTTATTTGGATTTCATCTTGTACAAAGGCCTTGCAGAAAAGAAAATATATTCACCTGGGGGCTGGGAAGGTAACTCAGTGGTAGAGCGCTTGCCTTGCATGCATGAGGCCCTGGGTTCGATTCCTCAGCACCACATAAGCAAAAAGAAAAAA